CAGATACACGAAAAATGTATTTAAGTACAGTAACGAAGTACTTGTACTTCTTTACTTCCCATCACTGCTTCTGGGAGTCTTTATCGTTCAGTAAAATGTGTTATTGTGACATGACTAGTCAGGAAAGCATTCATCATCAACATGAAAGTTTTTGGCTTTTTATCAGTTCAGTCTCTTTGTTTTTTCCACAGTGGAATTAAGATACAAAAGTAGCTTCAATGAATTAACAATAAATAAATAAAAAATAGGTACATAAGTTTGAATTTATTGTGGATTTTCTTTAATTACACGTCCAGGCTCAAATATATGCATCCAGTTGCAATAATATTTGCTTCACTGGCTTTGCAGCCTTCAGCAGGTTGCTGAATGCTGGCACCATTCTGCCTGGACTCCACCAGTTTTTAAAACTATTATTCTAAAAACTGGTGGAGTTTATTTCAGTTAGTTGGTCTCCAGGCATAGTCTCTGCTTAAAAGAATCTTCCATAAATGTTGAACAGGATTAATGTCCTAACAGGCTGTAGGGAATCCATTCAGCTGCACTGAAGCCATTTTGATATGTTTGGGTCAGAAACTGGAGCCTGTTCCATAAACATCTCTGTTATAAACTAAGGACGCACCAATCCACTTTTTTTTTTTAAATCTCAGATGCCTATACCGATATCTGAGGTTTAGTATCGTCCGATACCGATCCGATACAGAAGAACAGCTGAATTCACTTAGAAAGTTTATTTTCTAAATGCAGACATAAATGTACTGAATTACAAATTAATTTGCTAACTCTGCACCACTACAGCTCACTGAAATTCACTAATAGCTTCACAAGCTTGGTCAAACATATGAACACAATTTTTATTTGTGCTGTTAGGAGTAGAACAGTCAGTGTAAAATAAATAATGAAACTGAAACTGACTAAAACAACAGGTTGACTATTTTGGTCAAACGTAAAAAAAATAGCTGCCAAACACCTTTCAAATGGTTCAGAAAGAGCAATTAGGAATTCTAAATATAATGTAAAATAAATAAAGCATGATGTCATTCAGAGCACAAAGTAAAGAACTAGACTGAATAGATCTGCCTTTATAGATTGGGCACATTGCCACCTATATCCCATCTAGAATGTTTTCCAATATCAACACCAATACAGATATTGACATCAGATCGGTGCATCTTCTTAGAACCTGGTAGTTCTTCGTTAACCTGAGTGGTTGATTCTCTCAGGTGAGCATTGGTCTCGTGGGCAGACCTGGTCGTCGCGGGCGACCCCCAAAGCTTGGGGTCATTCCAGTAACAGCACGGCAGCAGGCAGAGAGGAGACAGCTGCGGCTGCAGGAGGTCAGAGGACGGGGTGCTGCTCCATTCCAGGACGGGACTGACCCGTCTCCACAAGTACCTGCTGTGTAACTCGTGTTTCTGTGACCACTCTGTGTTGCTTCCAGCTGGTGGAGCAGTGTGAAGATGAAGAACTGATGGATGCTGTTCTTCCTCGTTTGACCAAAATGTTAAGTCTGTGGGAGCTGCTGCTGGCGAAGGTGAAAAAAAAAACACACACAAACTTTTCTATTAGAAATAATGGCCTGTTTGTTTTTGCTATCATGTTTTTAGTATTAGTTTTGACCCATCAGCCATCACCATGCAGACTGCTCCTAAGTGGTCAATTTGACTGTGTCTCTTTCTATGTCTATTTTAGTTTTTAATTAACTTTTTATCAAGGAATGAGTGCAATATAAGTAATTATTGATAGTCTTTTTTTAATACTGAGACATTGTTTTTGTCTGGAAAATTGCACCCGAAGTTCATCGTAAAATTGATCACTGTTACAATTCCAACATATGAATATTCATCATTAAGTCACTCAGACATTAAGGTTACTGTACGTAAAGTGACAATTATCACTATAGGAAATAATTTAATATTCCTTCCTTAATTTAGTAAACTGCTATTTGTTTTGAGGAATATTTCAGCTTACGATGGCTAAAATCATTCACATGTACAACAGCGAAGGGCATTCTGGGTAAATAGAACCAAATCAAACATGAGCGTCTAGTGCTAACAGGAGAAATGGCTCGTGGTCTTTTGCCAAAGAGAAATCCTAAAATCACTACGATCTGACTTCACTCGATCTCATTCCCATTTGTGCTCTGTGTTTTCTGCAGAAGTTTTCATGTTGTTTCCTTCAGTGGTTCTTGTCTGTCCTAAATCACACATTTATGTCAATATTCTTTGTTTAATGAGTAAAACAATGTTCATTTTTAGTGTCTCTCTGAGTTTACTTTTTTCCAGACATATATTTAATACATATATCTTTTGATATTTTTCATGACTGTATGCTTTGCTCAGAAGGACCTACTGGGGATATGGAAGGAGTATAATACATTTCCTACATATTTCTGTTATCTCACAAGCTATTGCTCCTCTTTGTGACTTGTAGTTGACTGCATTAATGTTTGAAGACAGTAGAAGGTAGGCAGGCCAGATCACCTCTGAGGTTCTTTAAAAATTATTTCTAACCTTCGTCCTCCGTCTCTTTCAGCTGGACTGCAAGGGGTTGGCTTGTAGCTGCTTTCCAGACATTTACCATGAGTTTGAATCTCTGCATGCTCAAGTCAGGCAGACTGCACAAGACTACATCATAAGTCCTCAGGGTGGAGCCATGCCTGTGGAGGTCAGGAACATTGAGGTGAGACCATACATTGCTTCTCTATGCACCTGAAGACTGGAAAAGTTGAGCAGCAGGTGATGCGACAGGTTCTCTGTCCCTTCCTGGACTCCCGTTTCAGGTGGCCAGATCTCTAGGGATCCTGGACGAGGTAAACAAGATGAAGGTGCTTCCTGGAGCATCGCCTGTTTCTAGTGGGAACAATAAGAATGTCCGGTACATGGGGGTAAGCATGCAGTCAGAAAGAATCTGAGTAAAACTGTGTGTGTGCTGAAGGGGTTTTTTTCTTACAGAACTTACTGTTAACAATGAGAAGAGGCTGCTTTAAAATACTACAGCTAACTCTGCTCCTTGTAAGGAAAATAACAGTAGTTTCAGTTTAAATTAATCAAAGTTGTTGTTTTTTTTTTTTCCAGAACTCCAAGATGTTGCCACCATCTAAAAGATTTAAGATGGAAAACAGTATTGCAGATCACCAGAACGGCACAGAAGTGCCAAAATCAGGTAGTTGTATGAACAGCTTGAATTAGTCATTTATACTGTTGCTGAGAATATTATAACATGTATGTCAGGGTTTCCTCTAGAAAACTCTCTAAACCCAGTAGTAACGGTGATGGGACAGTCATCTAACGGCCCACCGTGTTATTTAGTTAAATTTTTTTTAAAGTTGACAGGAAATTTGAAAATATCACTTGGTAATTATGTGTTATTGGAGGACATTATTAACAATAACTAAAAACAAACTGTAAAGTCTTAAAAAAAAGTAAACATAAAAAATATACAATTAAAATAAACATAAATTTTTTCACTTCATTTGTTCCATCATAATTAAAGTGTCCAAAAATTTATTTAATCATTTATCTGTGACTTTTCACATTATTTGCTGAAGTTCTTAGCATGACACAGGTAGAGACAGGAAATAATTATGGAGGTTTGGTGTATAAAAAAAATTCACCTGGCCTCAGTCTCTCTGTGTTCACATTCTGACCATACAGTTGGGCCATTGTGCTTTCAACCATTTCACCAAAGAGAATCTGTCTTTGCTCTCTCTCTGTTAATGATGTATAAAAAAAACTAGAATAAATCAACAAACAATGTTTAGCCTGGTGGGGTGCAAGTAAAACCTGGAAGCCCTCCAGACTTATGATTCACTGAGGGAAACTCTGAATAGCATATTAGGGTTGAATATTAGTGGGAGTATAGTGTGCACAACTTTACCATGTGTTACCATTTGTTGACAGTGTTTTTATGCTGAGTTTTTTTTTTACAACCAGCATGATGTTAGCATATTTCCTTCCATATTTCCTTCCCTGTTTTGATACAACTTGTTGATACCTCAACAAGTTGTATCCCAGCTTCTACGAATCCTGTAAAAGTTCCTCAGCAGTGTTTCAGCTGCTCTTTCCCACAGGAAGCGCTGAATATGGATTTGATAAACTGCCATAAGACATACACTATTCAGCATTTAAGTATTGTAGCTGTTTGGATCAGTATGTGAGGTCATGTGACTGTCATATCTGTCACTTTGTTTCCCAGCTGCTGCTCCAGTGGCCTCGGCCACCCAGGCAGCCTCTCTTGTCAAGTCGTGCTCCGTGTCTGTGTCTCCCCTGGAGATTTCAGGTGGAGCCAAAGTGCTGAGCGCCTCTGCTGAACCTACCTCCAGGTGAGCTGAGTCCACCTCGCTGGATGTGTGGGCTGTTCAGACTGGATTCATAACATTAACGCTTAATGAGCACATCACAGGTGGACAGCTGTAAGTTTGTGCTCAATTAAAATTAGGGATGGAGATTTCCTTAAAGGGGCGGTATTATGTCAAATCAGCTTTTTGAGATTTACATCATGTTATAATAGTCCCTCATCAAAAACATTCCTGGAGTGTTACTTTGATTCTATTATGCATGTTAGAGAAATCTTTTAATCTCCCATGGCAACCATTCAGCTGTGCAAAACACCTGGGTGGACCTAGCTCCGCCTTCGAGACACAGCTCCTCCTCAGAGCTGCAGTTTTCAAGTTTCCACCTCAGAGCAGCCCTCCCCCATGGCTCACCCACTCAGCTCCTGCAGATTAGCCAGTATCAATTTACAAACACCTGGTGGAGCTGTGTATCTGCTGAGTTCATCATAGGAGCTACTTTTCAATATAATGCTGGTAAAAATGTTGATAAAGGGTTAACAGAGGAACGACAACCATCCTGAACAGCCAAACAGAGCTGGTTCAGATCAAAATGTATGTGTCGAAGTGACCCAGTCAAAGTCCAGACAAGAATCTGTGTCTTGAAAAATTGATATTTACAGATCTTCTGCATCCAGTTTGACTGAGATTCAGCACAAATATGCAAAGAAGAATGGAGCATTTTCCAGTGTGTAGGTGTTCAGAGTTGGAGGATGTGAATCAACAAGACCTGCAGCTGAAGCCCAGCCAGAGGCTTCCATCTGCACAGTCCTGACTCAGAGGTCAAACACAAAAAGATCCCACACTTTGACCAAATGTAGTAACACTGATTTCACTGCCATTTAACAGTTCAGCACTACGTTGTGTTGCTCCAACACATAAAATCCTAATGATATACATACAGCTGCAGCTGGCAATAACGTTTAGTAATTGATTTTTCTATTGGTTACTCTGATGATTAAATGGATTTATTAACAAAACAAGTGTGCAGCTGCAGCTGAAGAATCCTTCTAATATAAACATCTAATATCTGAGCAGAAAGGCTCAGGCCTTCCTGAACTGAACATAAATACAATGTAGAGCTAATATTGTGTTGAATATTTCTTCTATTAATCGATTAATAATTGCTTAACAGATTTTTTTTTACAGAATTTGAACCAGGTGAAGCTAAAACTACCACTCCAGGATTTTGAGTAGAACATATTTACAGACGAAGCTTGTTTTTTTTTATCTTAAGTGCCAAACATTTATTTATTTTTTAACAGTTTCACCATAATTACTGCTTTAACTATTTTTTATTCACCAAATGGCCTTTTCTTTAAGTCTGTACTCTCCATTTCATGATTATTGATTACTAAATTAGTTGACATTTACTTCAATAATCAGTTCATCACAATGAATCAGATGAATTGTTTCAGCCCTAACTATACGTTGACATTATGAAAATGTTCTTGGGTTCTGAAAGTTTTGCAGGATGATGGACCTGGTTTATAGTGACCAGCCCTGTCACAATAACACATTGTTCTGGATGATAAATTGTCCCAGAAGTTATTGTGATAAATTATAATATTGTTATTTTGAGACCATTTCTAGTAATATAACCTAAAGGCATAATAATGCAAGGAAACATTCTCAGAGATCAAAAAACTTTTAAACTCTAATGAGCATTTAACACTGGAACTGGACGACATTTTAAATATTCAAAATAAAAAAAACAATAGAGAAACAACAAATAAAATTAATTATGAAATCTCTGTAAATAAAATGTCCTTCAATATAAGGGTCTCTCAGTTGAGACCAAAGCATCAGACTGAAGACTTTTATTATCCAGGTTTTGGTAGAAAGAGAGTAGAGACAATAAATAATGAAAAGGGAAATCATTGAGCTCATTTTAATTTATCATGCGATTCATTGATTCACTGATTATTGCAACAGGCCTACATGTAACAGAGAACAGAGATGAGTCACTTACTGTGTGACAGAGAACAGTGTAGTCAGATGGTGGTGCTTTTATATGTTTCTTAGCTATAAAGTAACACTAGTTGCCATGGTAGCGCAGCAGCTTAATAACATGAGTTGGTGTTTGTCAGCTGATCCTGATTTCTGAAGCTGATAGTCTGAATGTGTTTGTTGTGACCTGCAGCTCCTCCAGCAACGCCTCTCCTGACCCAACTCCCAGCCTGGCTGCACCTCCCGCCGGCCCCACGCAGGAACAAAAGGAGGGGCCGTCGGCCCAGGACCAGGACGTACACATGGCCGACGCCACAGTCCAGGACGCAAACACGGCCGACGCCACGGTCCAGGACGCAAACACGGCCGACGCCACGGTCCAGGACGCAAACACGGCCGACGCCACGGTCCAGGACGCAAACACGGCCGAAGCCACGGTCCAGGACATAAACATGGCCGAAACTACGGTCCAGGACTTAAACATGGCCGAAGCTACGGTCCAGGACATAAACATGGCCGAAACTACGGTCCAGGACTTAAACATGGCCGAAGCTACGGTCCATCAAGTAAACGGGGCCAAAGCCATGATCCAGGAAGTAAACGGGGCTGAAGCAGCGGTCCAGATAACGCAACCAGACTCTGCTCTCAGTTCTAGTGCCACCAGCACTACGGACAGAAAGAGGGCGGAGTCTAGCCCCAACCCTGGCCCCACCCCCAGCCCCGCCCAGCCGGCGACCTCTGCTCAGCCTCAGCCCTGTGACTCCTCCTCCCAGCCCAAAGAGCTACAGGCGGGCCAGGAGATCTACATCCAGACGGAGGGGCTGACGGTGCAGCTGGCCGAGCCGGGGTCGGACGGGATTGTTATCGTCAACGGACCGGATGGAACCACCATGCACATCCAGACCCCAGAGGGGGTACCCCTGGAGGCAGTGCAGGCCCTGCTGGGCATCGAGGCTTCAGACGGGGACAGACTGGCCCAACAGACCCAGGACTGAGCGGAACCTCCTCGGAACAGACTGTCAGGGAGTGATGGACAGCTGGAAACTGCAGTGCCTCCCTTCAAACCCAGCTGATAGGAGCCAACCGGCGCTTCTCTATGAATGTCAGAGTTTCAGAACAATGCAGGGGGACGACGGTGCAAATCCCCAACTCCTGTAGGAAAATGTCATGGTCTTCATCTCGCTGTGTTCAAAGAGCCAAGGTGAAGCTGCTGATCTTCAGGTCATATATAAATATGCATATATATATAAATATCTATCTATATATACATATATATGTTGTCAGCACATTTCATTTCTTCTACTCTTCTGTTGTTGGTCTTCGGTGCAGCTATTGCACACCTCCACTTTATGTTCAGAAAAGACGAAAACGGTTCATATGCTTGATTTTGTCCTCTGACTGTTGCTCGCTGTCTGCAGTTCGGCTTGTGTTGCTTTTATTTTTCTGTTTCTGAAATAAATTATTTTTCAGGGGAAAAAAAACAGCATAAAAGTGAATGGGCAAGATTTTTACTGACTTCACCAGCCACAGTTTACCTCCACAGGTTCCGTTTTTACACTAAAAGGATTACTCTCTAAACTAATAAACTTACAGTATTTACATGAGATGTGCAGAAAAACAGAGTTTTTCAGAGTCCAATTTTCCCACAAACCAGGAAGTTTTTGGTTTTCTTCTCATCCATATGTGGCTTTTATTTTATTTTATTTTATTTTATTTTGTTACTTCATAACAAATCTATCTCAAGTGTTTGTCAGAACGTCTGGTGTTTGTTTTGGAATGTACTGTTAAATCTTAAATTATTCACACCCCCGGCAGATTTAGATTTAAAACTGCTCTCATTCAACTAAGATGTTTGTTTCAGGAAATGAGACGGGGCGGTTCTTAAACCAAGACAGAGCAAGGGGGACAGGGAGCATTTATTTTGAGATGTTGAAACAAAACTGAGTTGTTTTTATTCACATATTAAAATGTCATGTTAAAATTGAAAACTCTTTTAGTTCTGGTATTTTGATGGTTTATCTCTGAGACTCTCAGTCTGAACGTTGACGTTCAGCAGAAACATTTTCATCAAATTAAAAACTTGCTTTAAACCCAGGTCTACCAGGGGGATGAATAATTGTGGCCTTAGCTGTACATATTCTTTTGTAAATAGCAGCAGTTGTAATACAAAGTTGTTGGGAGTCAGATTAAAGTGTTGCACTAAACATCACCACGGCAACCACCACTCAGAAAATGTACTTTGAACAATCAGCAGCTTCTCCTCCCTGTTTACATGAACTCTGAAAAGACTGAAAAAGTCAGCCCAGGAGAAGACTGACTGCAAACACACAAATATAAATATAAATTGGTCTAGTTTCTAGTGCAAATATCTTAGTAGAGCTGAAGTAAGACTAGGTTCACTGAAACGTAACTTCTCAGATGGATATAAGAACTTGTTTTAATTCCTTAATATTGATAAAAGAAAATCCTAGTTCTTATGACAGATTATTTAACTTATAAAAAGACATTTTTACAGATGTTAAAAGTGAAACAATCTGCCAGTGGAACTATCACATTTTAAAAATCAGTATTAAGAAAATAGTAACTTAAAGCAACGCCTATATTTTGTTGAAACGCTAGTAAGTTAGTTTTGTCTTATTTCAAGCGTTCTAAGATATTTACACTAGAAGCTCGACCAAAACTTTGTGTTTTTGCAGTGAAAGGAGGAGAGGTGGTAGGATGGAAACTTGTCATCCAAAGTAAGGAAATATGTCTTTGGTCCACTATTTCATTGTACCAATGGTTATTGGCAATAAATCTTATTCCCTTCAAAGCCTGTTTAATTCCTCTTCAATGTCCTCACACTGGGAAGGGAAATGCATTAATGGGCTTCACCCTAAAAAAACTGCGGCTGATTCTCTCTGCCAGTACCAAACGCCTCCCTCTGCCCCTCACCATCACACTGCCTCCACCAGAACATGTTACGACTTAAGTAACACAACATCACCTCCACAATCAGCCCACAAATGTGTTTTCCAGACAGATGTGGGGAGGTTTAAGCAGAATTAAACTTGCTTTTAGTGGTGTGCAATTTTGTGCTGAGAAAATTTGTTACAAGGAGAAAAAAATCGACTAAAAATTTTTTGTTTTGTTTTTTCTTTTGCCAACTTGAGTAAACGGCGTCTTTCTAACAGGACCGACCTGAAAGTGATGGTGTTGATTTGTTGTTGACTCCCTGCTTTCTGTGTAGATCTACACTCCAAAAACACTAAAATTTACCAAGTAATTTTGGTCTATTTAGAGCAAATATCTTAGTATATCTGAAATAAGACAAAACTAACTTACAATAACTTTTCAGCAAGTTTATAAGAGCTTGTTTAAAGTGAATAATTCCTTAATTTTATTTTATTTTTAAGTACTTGTTTAATTGGCGGATTATTTCACTTATAACAAGACATTTCTCCCATGTTATAAGTGAAATAATCTGCCAGTGGAACTACCACTTTTTCCATCAACATTAAGGAATCATTGGCCTAGAACAAGCTTCTATATAATGATAAAAAATTATTTCTAAGTTAATTTTGTCTTATTTCAATTGAACTAAGATATTTGCACTAGAAACTAGACCAAAGATACTTGGTAAGATTGAATGTTTTTGCAGTGTAAAGTGTCCAGATCAGTAATCTCCTGGGATTATTTCACTATTAAAGATCTGCTTGTTTGATACGCGTTTAACCCTGCTGTGACAACATCAGGTGGTTTTTAACAACATTTGACTATTTGTACAGTTCTTTCCTCTCAATGTTTGCATATTTGGACTTCATTCTAAACTAGAAGATGATTTGTTGAATGTCCATATGTAGATAAAGACAATGAACAAAGTTTAAGAGTTGCACTATTTTATTACTTTTTTTTATAAAGCATCATCCAACATGTTTTAGGAAGTGAAGTGAGCTGCAGGGGGGGTCAGTGCAGGGAGGGACATGTGGATGTTTGACCAGCAAAAAGTATTCAGTACATGTTACCTTCTTACAATAAAACAATGTGTCAAACTTCCCTTCAGTTTGGTGATTCAGTTGAAAGATAGCATCCGTTTTAAATGTCAGCTGACTTCATTCAGATGTTTTTCATCTCTATAAGGAAGGGAAGGTGAGAGTTTTCCATGAATAGCAGATTTTCTCTAATTCCCACATTCACAAAATAAATAAGATGATATAAACAGACTCTGATATACGTCCGAAAGTAGTTGCTTGTCTATGTGGCAATGTTTCTGTGGCACCAAAGAACGGAAGCTACACTTATAACACCTTACAATGACTT